ATCTTTATTCTAAAAGTCTTAAGTCTCCCTGAAAATGAGAACATCATTGTTGTTCGATGCTGTAGCTCACAGATTGATTAGATTAGGACCAGTCTAACTACGGAGTACCAATATGGCAGCCGGTGGCTTCACTTCAACTCCGTACTTCAAACATCCAATCAGCAGTCCAGTGAATAGAGATCAGTGATCCTGATGGATGCAACCGGGTGCAATAAGCAGACATAAAGAGAGCAGCGCTGGCAGCATGGTGGAACTATTTGAAAGCTAAATAGCGATAATGAGGCAGGTGCTTAAAGTTATAAAGGAGGATGTTCTTTTTTGCAGGTGGATCATCTAAATAAGTGGTCCTACTAATTGTCAATCATTCTGGTGATATGTTTACGTAAGGCCGTCCTACGTGCTCGTCCCCATTCAGTTACCGCTGGGAGTCTGAAATAGTGGAAAAATTGCACATTTTCTTTTGGAAAGTAAACTTGTATGAGCGATGCAAACACGAGGAGAAATAGGCCCATGCACGCTCTCACATAGGCAGGTACAGGGTTGTGTATGTGCATTTTTCTTTCTTTAAGTGGAGAGGGCGGGTCTTTTCAAAAATGTTTGAAAATCCTCCACTATACATTTAATAGAGTCCAACTGTCTTGCAATGCCTTGTGGTGAAGCAACATCGCAAAGTGGTCGAAGAACAATCACAACGATGAAGAGCAAAGGATAGAAGACAAGAATAACAGAATGTCAGCAGATTGCAGCAATCTTTCAGAAAAGCTTTTTAAACAACTGGAGTGAGCTACTGGTGTGTACATTTAAAACTTATAAGGTGATATTTTTTTCATTTTGGTTTTAATTTAGCTTAAGATCTCTTTTGCTGCAGAATTTAAGTTAATTATCTTGTTCAGATGTATTATTTATATTCAAAGCTTAATGCATCTCAGCATTTAGTGACTTACTGAGCACAAGTAATCTTTACAAGCATTTAAAGAAGGCTAAGTTCAGGACTTGAACTAGGCCACTATACCGCAATTCTCCTCTGATTCAGGTGTAGGATTGTAGGATCAGTTAGTTATAGTTGTCTTCAGAACCTTCAGAATGTTTTAAAATGACAAAAGAGTCCCCTTAAAACCATGTACGCGGGGGGGGGGATTTACCATTAGGCAACACTAGGCAGCTACCTAGGGCCCCAAGTTCCTGGGGCCCCATAAAACTTTGTTTACCTGTATGGTTAATACAACTATTCCTTATTTCTGTGCATTAATTATGTTTTTGATAAAAATGCTTTGGCTAAAATGCCATCAGAACACTTCAAATATTAAATGTGTCTCAGCCCCCCCC